GATGAAGACGAAGCCCCATAGATATTACTCATCATTTGAGTAGTTTTTGTGAGAAGATTTGGAGAAATTTTGAAATTTTGGAGTTAGGGTTCTTGGTGATTTGAATCAGATTTCGATTTGGGGCTTTTGGCCGTTGAGCCGAGTTATGAAGAAAACGGAATCGGGTATTCGGTCAAGCCTGAGATTCAATTGGGTTTTTTTTAATTTAATTTCGGGTTTCTCGGTTTTTTCTCTGTTCTCGATTTTCTGTCGGGTAACTACTGAAACCGAACCAAAATTGATTTCATGGTGAAATAGACATTTAACTTTCGATTCAGTGACATCGGTACAGAGGTAAACATTTGGGCTCTATATACGCATATATCAAAGTTATCGTGAGAAAATAGACAGTTTTTCCGTATTTCACCATTTTGGGATTAATACCGGATCGCTTCTCTTCATAGATACTTTAACCATCACCGCCCTATAATCCGTAGCTTGTTTCCATGTTCACCATTGCGCAAACTGGATCCTAACCTATTGAGAATAGGTTACATGTGTTGTTTGCGATTAAACTGCAGATTGTCTCCTTGTAGGATGCTTCACCTCATGATCACAAGCTCCTTGGGACCATCTTCATCTTTCCTTGTTCCATGGCTTATATACCGCTGCTCTGTCGCACGGTCAGCTATTGGATGGGAAGAGATTTATACAGATGATCCGCTCTCTGTACTTTGTAAAGGCTCAACACTTATTAGTGCAGCCGATTTCAAGATTATTAAGCCTGCACTTGATGCGGTATCAATCACAGATGTTAGTTCATATGTTGTGTTCTTAATCTTCCACGGCGTCATTCTACTGTTTAGGCCCTATGTTGTCGAGATCCAACGTCTCAACAGTGTTTGCTACTTAGGTACAATGACTGCCTTTTTAATATGCGTGTATTTTCTTCGTTTGCCTTTTATAGCAACGAACTGTGTAAGCTTTAGCACTTTATTATCATCGTTTGTAAACGTTTCCTCCTTGATTGGAGAGTAAGAAGTTTAATGCAAGTTATTTGACAAAAATATCCTCTTTACTTGTCCTTATGGAAGGATGGTTTGACACCTATACAATTTAATACACACTAGACGATTTAAAAACTTATACGTATCTTAACTCTTTAACACCATATCTTCCAAGAATACCTATTGATGAGGAGGTAACACTTCTATCTTTTTGGATTACTTAGAAGACTATGGAAGTTATTCAACAACATAATGTTCAACAAGGTTAACTGTTACCCCACAAAGACTGTGGCCAAAGCACAAATGATACAAGTGAGTGGCTAGAAACTTCGAATAAGGGAGTGGATGATTTAACCAGCCCCGAACTGGACATAGGTGGAAGACAAAAATATTATGAATTTGCTTCGATCCTTTCATTGCTCGATATACTTAAAACCAACTTTAATGGATAATATAAGAGGAAGGCAAATTATCATATACCAATAGTTGGAAAATCGGTATGTGGTAGTTTTTCGATCATTACATAAAGCAAGATTGCGCCATAGAAATAGTTCCTTGGAAGCTGAAGGAATGATTATCTTTCTTGCTTTGCAATTTATATGGTGTCGGAATTCCACTACATAGTAATGGAAAGTGTCTACTCTATGCTTGTAAGCGAAAGCAAAAGATTTTGCCAGTTTGATAATGGAAACCTACCTTATACTCAAGCATGGGAAAATGGTTGGGAAAATTGAGTTTAAGTTGTGATAGCAGTGAGTACATAGAACTGTCGTGGACAAATTGTTATGCGTCGAAGATTTAGAACAACTCAATTTCTCCTTTTCTTTTTCTTCACCTATGAATTTCTTTAGCTAAAAACCAGATTGATCTTAAATACCAAATATTTTTAAAAAGTTTTAAAAGTCGAAAGCAATAAACGGATGAAAAAAAATTCTTTGTAAACACAATTGTCTTTTTCAACACACGCAAAAGATATTGTTGCTATGACACAGTTTATCGAAGAATCTAATTTCAATATAAATTGAAAACGACTTGTAAATAAACAATTTAGTTTTTTGAATTTTCTAAAAAGCATAAATAACATATAAATAATTAAAATATAATTTAAGAGATCAAAACAACTTAAGTACATGTATTAACAAAGTAGTAGGGTACCAAATGATATAGTTTGTTTTTCTTTTAAAATAGCAACGTCCGGATAACAAAGAGATTAAAAATATAAACCTCACTTCATGTTAAAAAAAAAATATATTATATGAATTTCACTTTTCCGCGCGGCAATGCACGGATTTGTTTTCTAGTACGAATAAAAGAAAAAGTAGTTTCGCGGTCTCGAACGGTCTTTTGTAAGTGAGTCGAAACTATACTAAAACTGGACAAAAAGAGGTACATATATTGTTTAGCCTTCTCGGCCCAAACACAAGGAAACAAAAAAAGAATGGATTCGTGTGGAAGATTTATGGCTTCTCGGAATCTGTTATGGCGTGATTCATGAATAAGCAATTCTCATAGAAAACGTTAATATATTACTAGTACCTGAAACCGCAAAAAGAACAGTACAGTATTAATTTTTTAATGAATTTAAGTGACGTTGGTAATGTATGTATATGCGTTTGTGTAACAAATACATTCTGACTCTTGTGCTTTGTGCTAGATTGTGTCTTTGTTTGCCTCTCAAAGATCAAGATTTCATAAAAATTAACACACAACACAAA